GGGTGCATGGATTGGGGACCCGTGGCTAGCCGGAGGAATTTGGGCGACTATGACAGCATTCTCCGTGTCATTAATCGTACACCATGTTCAAGCACACAAATGTGATGCTAAAGATGGTGTGCAAAGCCGACTCAGCTGGGAGGTCCCTGATTGGTGTGCATCGAGGCCACCCCAAGACATGGCCCGGTCCGCCCAATGGCACACGTCGCCCGACCGTCACGTGAACAGGATCTCATGCATGCAACTCGGGTATGCTGCAGCTCTCCCGACGGAAGCCCCAGTTTTCGGCTACCAATTTACCACCAGGCCGCTGGAGACTTGGCCGTCCACAAGGGCCGACTCCGGGACGGACTGAGTCTCAAACAGCCTGGGGATTGGATTCTGCAGACGCTGGGCACGTTTTTCTGTGTTGCCCGTGTCTCACCGGGTACCAGGGACATGCCGCTCGCCATCCATTCTGCTGGTAACATTGCACTTGATGTTGGGCTGCTCTCCATCGCAGACATTAGCACCCGCTCTGGTTGAACACTCGAGAAAAAAAAGGGGGCGCCGATGAACAAGATGGAGGAGCGAAAGGGGGATAGCTGGCGAAGGCTTTGCTGCTGGGCGCTAGGTGCCGTCTTGTTGCTGTGGACTACACAACAGCTAGTCAAGGGACGAACGTGTGCCACGTCGCAATTTCATCACTGCGACATAGCGCCCTCTTGAGGGGCTGGCTGCATGTCAGGTTCTGCTCGAGGCCGCTAGCAAACAAGCTGTCGCCGAGTGACTTTGTTCCACAGTGCGAATAGCTGCCAAATCCTTCCCTTCCATTCCTTCTGTCACTAGCTTGTTCACACGCCCCCCTTGGCAAACCTACAGGCACTGGACGCAGATACAGGTAACTCTTGGGAAAAAAGCCACAGATGGAGCCGCCCATAATTACGAGAGCGGGCGCAACGCACACCAAACACAAGGGGGGATTTCCAATGCCGATGATTGTTTGATTCTTGAACTGACCAGGGGGTGCTGAAAGTAAACTAAAGACGAAGATGCAGCCCCATGTTGGCGAAAGCCCGGCCACTTGCGCATTCTGCTGGATCCTTCGAGACGGAAGAGTGTCGCGTTTTCTGTTCCCACCTACCAGTACATGTACGGAGTACAGGTACACAGATTTGTCCCCGTATCGACGAGTATCTCAAGATGTCTAAATATGCTGCTCTTCCCTGAAGAGTAATTCTTTGCCGTCTACTGTGATGGCTGTCGCCGCCGCTCGTTTTCTCGTCTCACCGGAGGTCTCGGTATTGATATGACCTTGGAGTCATCGCTGCCGCAACGAAATGGAGTACTCGTACATGTGGCCGCAGTCTCTCGTCCATGCGAGCGGGCATTTCGTCGGCGTCCCAATGGTCACCGCGAGACCTATCATTTGAGATACTGCCCATCTTCCTGCATGTTGGCTGTACGAGACGAACGATATGACGGCTCCCTGCCTTTGATTTCTATGCAGCAGTAGCCAAAAGAGAAAAGGTGTAATATGCAGCAAGGCCGCTATGTTGCCACCCCACGGGACCTCGACTGCATGCACGTCCAGCGATACGTCTCCACGAGGCCGCGCATGACCGCTGTGTCGAGAGTGGATGGACTGCGGATACCTCTCTGCTTGCAACGGCTCAGCAAATTTGCCGTTGGGCCACCGAAGCCAAACGGCTCACCGTCCATGCAATTGGCACTCTAAATGCTCCTTTCCGCAGCCGCCTTGCTTTCAATACGCGTCCCCAAGCGTTTGTAGCCCTTGTCAGACCGTTGCGGTTGCCCGCGTACCACCGCCCACCAGCTGTGAGTGGGGACGAAGCGTTCTCTTCTTGTCATTTTTCTTGTGCCTTGGGGGTCCCACAGTCTGCCGCCAACCCTGTTCGCGTCTGTTGCGGTTTGTTTTGCGCCACTCCGTGAGACGTAACGAATCAGAGGCCTGTCCTAACCAAGTGCATGAGAAGAACCTGGCAAGGTCTCTGTCTTGTGGAACGTGAGCGGCACGGCGATAGCATTTGGCGCCCCTTGTCGCGCTACCGGCGTCAGAATGGGGAGACGCTGCACGGAGCGCATGGAGGTTTGTGGAGATGAAGCATCCGATAGTGACGGGGGACGGAGTACTCCGGATGCACAAGAGCTCGCTCACTACGCGAGGCCTAGACGGTTCTCCACAGCATCCCGACTCTGCAGAGAACCAGCGGTGAACAGATGATCGAACGATCTATTCTTGGGGAGAGAGCACTGACTATGATGCCCAGCAAGCTACGCCATAGCGCGGAGTAGCAGCAATGAGTTCTCCATGCATCTCGAATTTCGTCAATGGCAAAGAGAGCGGAAACGCGGAGGAGCACTTTCATGAGCCGGGAAGGGGTCTCGCCGTTTGTTGCCATTGTCTCATCAGCTTCTTATTCCCTGGCCTTACGCACTAGCTCAAGCATATGCGGTTGCAGTGTGGCTGGAACTTTGGCAGGCTGAATTCCCTGTCCCAAGGATGAAGGAAAAGCCAACAAAGTACTACAAGTACTCCGTATCTCCTTGTGCATCATGTAGCGCCCAGCTACCTACCTATCAAGGCTTCCCCTGCAGTTGGCTCCTCTTATTCTGTGCCAGTCAAAAATAGTACTCGTACTCAGCTTGAATCGAAGACTCGATGAGGAGCTTCTGCTGCAACCCCCCCTACCCCCCTTCAGCAATACATGTATCAAAAACCACACACAACCAGCCATTGTCGGGCATTCGAAAACAAGCCCCTGCCGTGCTGTGCTCGCTTCCTCCACTTGGCATGCGATCAGCATCAGCGGATTGGGCAAGGTGCATATCATATCGACGTGCCATCCTTTCAGAAGATTTTTCTTTCTGCGTTGTACAAGGGCAGGGCGAGCCAATGACGATGCAAAGTGCGGCGCTCGACTTGCCATCCAAACCCACACATCGGCTTGTGTCGCCACTAAGGCCATTAGAAAGTGTCGCCCGCGGAACGGTGCGCTCTTGCAGGTGCATAGTCACCCGTGATCCGCTGACACCTCGGGGCCCCCTGGACTAGGCTGCGGTGTCTCAGTATGACTGGTGAGTTCTCAATGAATTCCTCGACGCAGCAAGCGGTACCAACAACGCACCTCGGCGGCGACAAGCAGCTTGACATGCGTATAGAATCTGGCCACGTTTCTCCACAGACGCCCACTGCTGCAGGCTTGCTGCGCCTCCATATCGCCAACCCTCCTTTGCCCACAGCTGTCACCAACCCGAGCCGAGAGAAGAGGGGAAAGAGGAGGAGGAAAATTCGTCCTACTCGTTGCTAAGGCTGAGGGGTCAATCCGGGCGTGACGCAGAGGGATAATGACCAATGCAGCCCATTGCGTCCCACAGGGAGGCGATTGCATCAAAATTGAGCTTCAGAGATGATAATGAACAAGCTCATCAGTTCAGTACCTAGCATTTCAAAGATGAGCTGGAAACATGGTTGTGCCTAGCGCGGATTGTCCACGCAACCCTCCCAGATCAATCTCCAGCGGGCAAGCCACCGAACAGTTACCGAAACAAAAAAGACACGGTTAGGTAGATGCTCCCGGCCGAAACCCACCAACTCCATAAATTCTTCTCGAGGGTCCAGAAAATGGCACGCCATTGCCATCTGCAGCAAAGCTGGTGGGTAAAAGCCAGCTGCTTGCAGGCAGCCGTACTCAGCGGCAAAGCAGGGTCATGTATTTGCCTCACCGCCACGACATCTGACCCGACAACCGTTAACTCGAATCTTCGTACCTCGAGGTGAGTTATGACAGCATGATTAATCCCGCTACCGTTGCGGTTCCACCCGTGCTCTCTGGGCACCGGGCTGCATGATCCTTGGGAGCGCCAGCGGGCTGCGGTGGAGGACGCTGACCCCCAGCCTCTCGGATCTGCGGGCTTATGACCCGGCCCGCCCATCCGGAGGCTTTAGACGGACGACCGATAGAGGTGCCCGGCTAACGCGGAGTGCCGTGGCAGAATCACCTCCGATTTTTGAGACCAAGTTTCAAACAACTCCAGAACTTTGGTATAAGGAGGCTGGAGCATTGTTGTCTTATATTTGGGGGAGCGAGCTTGTGAATGTTTGTGGCATTTCTCTGTCTCTGCCTTCAATTGACTGACTGACTGTCTGCGGATCTGTTGTCGAGACCAAAGGTCTGACTCGGAGCAACGGAGTAAACGGCGTGTCGTAGAAAAGGGGTGATTGCTATGAACAGTGCCACCATCTCGCCAGCGTTTCCAAGTGACGTAGTAATGGAGGCATATCGATCTCGCAGCTAGG